GATGAGGTGAGGGTGTTTAAGGTGATGAGGTGAGGGTGTTTAAGGCGATGATGTGAGTGTGTTTAAGGTGATGAGGTGAGGGTGTTTAACGTGATGAGGTGAAGGTGTTTAAGGTGAAGAGGTGAGGGTGTTTAACGTGATGAGGTGAGGGTGTTTAAGGTGACGAGGTGAGGGTGTTTAAGGTGACGAGGTGAGGGTGTTTAAGGTGATGATGTGAGTGTGTTTAAGGTGATGAGGTGAGGGTGTTTAAGGTGATGAGGTGAAGGTGTTTAAGGTGAAGAGGTGAGGGTGTTTAAGGTGAAGAGGTGAGGTTGTTTAAGGTGACGAGGTGAGGGTGTTTAAGGTGATGAGGTGAGGGTGTTTAAGGTGACGAGGTGAGGGTGTTTAACGTGACGAGGTGTTTAAGGTTATGAGGTGAGGGTGTTTAAGGTGATGAATTGAGGGTGATTAAGGTGATGAGGTGACGGTGTTTAAGGTGATGAGGTGACGGTGTTTAAGGTGATGAGGTGAGGGTGTTAAAGGTGATGAGGTGAGGGTGTTAAAGGTGACGAGGTGAGGGTGTTTAAGGTGATGAGGTGAGGGTGTTTAAGGTGATGAGGTGAGGGTGTTTAAGGTGATGAGGTCAGGGTGTTTAAGGTGAAGAGGTGAGGGTGTTTAAGGTGACGAGGTGAGGATGTTTAAGGTGATGAGGTGAGGGTGTTTAAGGTGATGAGGTGAGGGTGTTTAAGGTGACGAGGTGAGGGTTTTTAAGGTGACGAGGTGACTCTCTATTTATGGGCTATGAATGAAGGACCACTGCCCGAAACGTCGACTATTATATATTTTGTCTCTTGTTAAGGTCACACGTTAATGACGAAATTGTTGTTGTTGTTAGCGTCACCAGGTAATTTGTTTTTACTTTTTAAGGACAATTTCAGATCAATGTTATTTCTATGTATGTTTTTTAAGTGTTTTTTTACCTTTCCTATACTTTGCACTCCTATTATCTTTATTTATGTATCCGGACATCTGCGAAAAAGAGATTTATAGCTCATCGGATTCCTCCAGTAGAAATACAATATTTCTATGATGGGATCAGTTAACCGGTTGGAACAACCAGTGAGGTTTAAAAAAAAGACAATGAATTGTAGTGGGTGCAATCTAAACGAGGCTGTGCTGTATTGGCGCTTAGCGTGGGTGCGCATCACCACCTATTATTGTTGCAGCCCTTTGTCGATCCACTGTTGGATGCCACACCGTGTCGGTCATTGCGACGGCTGGCCAATACTTCACCGCGCTCGTTTAATGGGGCTGTTCGTGAAAGGAAGGGGAATTTATGACCCGGTTCAGCGAGAACACTCGCCACTGATGTCAGCCGTGCACGGCACACTATCCTCGCTCGGTTGCAGATGTTCATAACGCAGTGCGCTAACCACAGCACCACCGCTCCGGCTCTTTTTGACAGTGTTTAAATGAGTTAGGATACAATAACTAAATCACCTTAACAGCTCGTAGTAAATGTAATTCATTTAACAATCATACTCATCCGTGTAATGTAGTGTATAATAAAACAAACGCCACGGTGTGCAGTATCACGTTACACCTTCACTGCATCGACGGACCGGGCTAGGGGGACTTTACGATGCACATTTTGGGAAGCTGCCGCGCTGGATTCGAGAGCCACGCTTTGGAGTCGCAATCCAGAGGGGGTCGCCCGTTCGGCTGCATTCGATCTCCCGCCGCGGCAGCTGAAACGATGGCGCGGAGTGTCTCGAACGTCCGCGCGGCCTCTGTCCAGCCAGCAGGATGCTGTGTGCACAATGGCATGGGTCAATGATCGGCGTTTCGCATGCGGTGGGGTAAAATGTGCCGAGTGTGGACGAGTAGGCCAAAAACCCTTTGGAGAATTACCCCCGGTGGAGGTCCTTCTGCATGCAGGTGCGTTAGCCAGCAATTGCAAGGCTGCGCCTTTACCCCGTTGTCTGTTACACTTGCAATGTTCTGAGATCGCACTCCGCACTCAGGGTATATTAGAATAGCGAAACTATATATTTTTTATTTCACCAGGTAAGGCCTACAGAGCTTTGTAGCTCTTTTTCAGAAGCGATCTGGCTACCAATAATACCACAACGAAGTCTAGGAATAGGTTTGCACAAAAACTGACACCTTTATTCAAGGCATCATGTTTGCAAAAACCACAACACAAGCAGTCAGAATGCAAACAAAAAAGACAACTCTGATAATATGCACTGTCCTTGAATTTGATTGGTCCACACCCGAGACAGCTTTTCTTAGAGTCGCAATCCAGAGGGGGTCGCCACAACGAAGTCGTTTATCATGTGCACATTTAAAGCCAAATTCCCTAAATGCACGTTGATTATCACTGTGCAACAAAAAACTAATTTGGTTCCTGGGTAGTAAGTATTATTTCCTAATTGTTTATGCCTCAAACGTACAGAACATGGCTATTATTCCCCAAAAACTTTGCTTTTGTGACCAGGACATTGATATTTTGAAATTTACCTTTTTTCAATGAGAAAACGTGGTGTGCATTTGTGTACAGTATTTCGTTCACATAAAGTCCTGGCCACAAAAGAACAGTTTGTGGGGAATAATAGCCATTTTCTTTACTTTTTAGGCATAAGCAATACAAAAAATGACACTTGGTACCCAGGAACAAAAATTGTGTTACATAGTGTTATAAATATGGAGGGAAAAACCGGAGGACCCGGAGAAAAATCCACGCGACCACGGAGAGAGAGACACGCAAACTCCAAATATACAGCAGGTGTCAGGGTTGGGATCGAACCCACGTCCTCCTGCATACCGGGCGAGACAGTTAACATCGCTCCACCGAGGCGTCATAACCACGGGTTCTTCACCACACGAGGTCTGACAATTATTTAATAAAAAATAACAACTGGCCAATCGATCCAGCTTGAGGATGAACAAATGCAAGCGTTCATATTTTATCGAACACCCAACGAACGGCAGCAAAGCAGCAAATTGCGGAGTCGTGATGGAGAAGAGTGAATGATACGGCCCTTGAATGCGAGCAAGGTTAGTCGAACTTGGGGAAACGACGACGGGAGGAGATCATTCCGAAGTGGATCAGTGCGAGGGAAGGCGCAGAACGAGAAGTGAGGTGACCTGCGGTGTGGTGAGTGGATAGGTGAGTGGGTGAGTGAGTGTTGTTGTGACTTGCGGTGTGGTGAGTGGATAGGTGAGTGGGCGAGTGAGTGTTGTTGTGACCTGCGGTGTGGTGAGTGGATAGGTGAGTGGGCGAGTGAGTGTTGTTGTGACCTGCGGTGTGGTGAGTGGATAGGTGAGTGGGCGAGTGAGTGTTGTTGTGACCTGCGGTGTGGTGAGTGGATAGGTGAGTGGGCGAGTGAGTGTTGTTGTGACCTGCGGTGTGGTGAGTGAATAGGTGAGTGGGTGAGTGGGCGAGTGAGTGTTGTTGTGAACTGCGGTGTGGTGAGTGGATAGGTGAGTGGGTGAGTGGGCGAGTGAGTGTTGTTGTGACCTGTGGTGTGGTGAGTGGATAGGTGAGTGGGTGAGTGGGCGAGTGAGTGTTGTTGTGACCTGCGGTGTGGTGAGTGGATAGGTGAGTGGGTGAGTGGGCGAGTGAGTGTTGTTGTGAACTGTGGTGTGGTGGTGGTTGAACACAGTGTGGACGAGACGAAACAGTCAGCGTCTGGGTAGATCGGGGACCTGAACACGGTTGGAATGGAATAAATGAGTGAAGTTACCGGGAACTTGAACTAGTGTCAGAATGTTGTAAAAGAAGGGGGGGGGGGGGGCTAAGCCGTAGTTGGGGAGGGGAGAGGCGGGAGGGGGGGGGTACTGACCCCCTCCTGTCCCCAACCCCTGGTGCAACGGGGGGGGGGGGTGGTGCTGTTTCTGGGGTGACCGTGCAATATGGATAATGAATGTTCCCCTGGCCTGCCCATTATTCACCGAACCATAGCTGCGGATATTTTTGCTCGGGCGTGTGACCCGGTGACGTCACGAGCGTGGGCCACTCTGCAGGAATGTTGAAACACAACACAAGCGAGTCGCGGGCTGACATTTCCACATTCGCAGCCGACCGCACATTAAATGCACCCGCGAGTGAACAAAGTTAATAAATAATGACTTCGGGAGCGAGGTCTCTCCCCCCCACCCCAAGCAACCAACTACTGGCAACTCAGCCCAGCAATACCGGGCCGAGCCGCGCATGCGACGCGTGGTATACCAGGCGCCCCCCCCCCGGTTTGTCAACACCGCACCCGAAGACACGTGGGGCCGCTTGTGTGCGCGCGCACGGCCCGGCCCACCACGGCGCGCAGGGGAGGGGGGGGGGCAATGCCAGATTAAAAAAAAAACTAATACAAATGTGGGGGTCGGTCACCACCAACCCCGTCCCGCCGCCCCTACATACGCCCAAGCGCATGTGCTGCTGTAATTGTGGCCAGAGAATATATCCGTGGAGTAATAACGGGAGATGATTTGCGGGATGAAATGTTTGTGGCATTTATAGCAATAATAATGATGGGTCGCTATGCCAGACCACAGGCTCCCCGGCACGTCCCCTCCACGTCTTTAGACCCCTTGCAGAGTTTGGTGAACATCTCTTGAGATTTGCACGAGTTATTGTGGCCTCATACCTCCACAAAGACAAAGATCGCCCGTGTAGCCTTAACAGACTGTTGGGGGCAAATGCTGTTACAGAGCAGCACCTATGAAGGCCGACACGGCACACGAGAGGGTGGGTGGCCTGCACCACGCCCGACCGCCTTTGTCTCCCCAGTGCTGATATTTTACACATCGCACCAGGTACTCAATTAAGGCTGTGTCGACCTAGGGGACGGCCCTCAAGGCCTGAGCAGACTGTTGGGGCGAGTGCTGTCAGCGAGTGCCCATGAAGGCCAGTAGGCCGCTCGAGGGGGTGGTGTAACCAGCGCCGATGTTTAACACAGAGCAACAGGTACTCGTCTAAGGCCAGAGAACACAAACAAGCCACACACGTTTACATGCGCAAATGTACTTATTAAAAAAACACAATTTTAATTCATATTTAAGGGAGGGGGAGAGTTTTACATTCATCAAGTACCCGAACTAGATGGTTACAGATTGCACTTTGCTTTAAAAAAATAATAATACAGCACTTAAGTTACACTATTCGTAGTGTGCGTCTGTCACGTCACGATTAGGAACTGGGCACTCACACGATCGGTCTCGCGGACACTGCCAGCGATAAACGTTGCAATGTCATCGTCATGTAACCATCCCTCGCAAGCGGCACGGAGCGGGGGCAGACGAACACGGACTCTTTCGGCTCACAATACGAGCATCGGGTCGCGTGTGCGTCCCAGTCGACGTTGCGACTGTTTATATTTTGTACGTGAAAGGGTTTCCTCCATGTACCCCTTGAAGCCGCGTAGAGGTTTTTACATTCGCGACAATGTAAAAAAAAAACACACACACACAATACACCGGTGACAATGCGATTCGGATTTAAATAAGTTCACCAAATGCAACGTTATCATCATATCAAGCTGCTGTTAAAATAAAAATGGAACCGATTCGCGAAACGATTGACGTATTAACGCCATAATCACAATTGGCGCTGGGTTATTCCACCGCTACGTTGTATCAATTCCCGCTATAACCAAACTTAAAAATAGGCGGACACCTTAATTGGACGGATCAACAATAAAATTATTTCTTTAAAACGAGTCAACATAATTTATTTTAAAAGGGCTCCCCACGAATCAGCTCTTCACATCAAAACACAATCAACCCGTGCTGAAAAATAAAGTCCCGGAAAACTCACGCGGCTCTTCCGGGCGGACGCTCCGTCCCAAACAATGCCCGTCAGATTTTGCATCGTAAACAACGTGGAAATATAACTCGGAGTGTAACGAACGTCGCACCGCCGTGCTGTGACGTCGCACCGCCGTGCGGTGACGTCACACCGCCGTGCTGTGACGTCACACCGCGACGTCGTCACGCGGTCGTCATCTCGGGTGAGAACATCTTCACGGCAAAGTGAAGACAACAAATTAATAAAAAAACATATTTTGTGAGGAGATTTCATTGAACTAGAAATGCTAAAAGCAAAGCGAAATGCTCAATCGCTGTCATATTTCGCGTCTCTTAATTACGTTCATGGTAAACAATTCATTTGAATAAGAGGCAAGCTGCAAGTTACGATTACTGTACAAACTATGACATTGGCACAATTACAGCAAATTAAACGAAGTTAAGGATCGTTAAATTACGCAGTGCAAATTTACAAATTCCAGGCACACGTTGTGTTACGAAGGCATTCCGGTGCACACTGCCGTAGCGACACCAAGGGGCTGATGGGTAAAAAGGCAACTGCTTGCTCACGCCACTGCTGTTGGAAGAGCCTCCACTAGAGGGCTTATGTCTCAGAACGCGTGGGGGTACCCACGCTTTACCCCACCGCATGTTAACCTACGGGAATCGCGTCATCGTTTCAGCTGCCGCGACCGGAGATTGAACCGACAATATTCTGGACTGCAGGCCCAGTGCGCGCCGATATAAACCACGGCACTGCAGCCGCTTCTTCCAAGCGCAACAGCATTGAAATGTCTGCGCAGGTTTGTGTTTACACGACTAAATAAAACCGCGTGGCACAATCTGCCATTAAATAATTACACTCCTGTCTTAACCTCGGGGGAAGCGGAATTAGGTTCGACTAAATTAGAGATTACCTTGGGTGCAATTACAATGACATTTAATACGGGACTGTATTTACCCCTGCCCCCCCCCCTCCCCCCTAACGAGGGATTAATATACCCAGAAATTGCAATCTGTAAGAATCACGACTTTTGTTTAATCGCAATAAGTCTGGTAAGCTTCACCGTGAACTAACGACCGCTCCCCCAAACCAACGCTGCGTTATCCAGCCACCGGGGAGACGGCGAGAGCAACGCCCACTGATCGGTGAACGCGCGCGGATCGGAGACGGGTCGCATCGGCCGTCGACGAGGATCGAGCGGGCCCTGTGCAGGACGCATCGCTAGGGGGGTACGATGTTCAGAGTACGAGACTGAGAATGGGCCCCAGAGGGCGGCCGCCATGGAGATGGAGCTGCGAGGCCGGCTCGTGCACGCGCGCACGGGAGCCGGACGGATTGCGGCGGTGGACCATGGCCGACGACGAAGAATGGCAACGGCGGTGGACCATGGCCGACGACGATGCTGATGGAGGCGCTTTCGCGAGGCCGCACGCGCCACCACCACTCCTCATCCGCTCGGGAGCCACGTTGGTCTACAGTCAGCGCCACTCCGCGTGCAGTCATGCCGGATTGCATGCCGAACACGCGGAGAAGCGCTCCCCCCCCCCCCGTGTAGAGGGGGCGAGCGAGCGAGCGGGAGCGACAGAATGAGGAGAGATTACGCCGGCGGGTTCCCAAATCCCGGCGTGGATGTCAACGGGTATTCCGAGGCGACGCGTTCACAAACGCGCACCGCGAGGATGGATCGACCCGACATCCGCCGTCTCTAGCTCAGCGTCGCACCGAGGAGATCCGAACTCCTCCGTGTGGTCTCGACGCCGGCGAAGCCGCTTGCGACGGCGCGCATCCGGTGCCTTGAGACGCGACGTACAGGAGCAGCGGTATTAAACAGTAAATGATGACGATGATTGAGAGGTTCTTTCCGCGTCACGCAGCGCCAGGCTATGAGCAGGGACGTTAAAAGTTCTCTACTCGCGGAAATCCGTGACATTCATCGAGGCAGCGGGTTTTGGCGCGTAACGGGCCGATCGATACGATCAGTCGACCTAAATCGATCGTTACACTAACGGCGCACGTGACCGATTGCGAGCACCGAGTATTTTCCATGGACTACATCTTGTTGTCCTGCTATGGATGCATATGATTCCTACAGCCATGGAGCGAGTATAAAACATAAATAATAAAATATATAGTTGCCAATTTATCAAATCATCAAATCGGTTGAGTCGTTGAGGACCTTTTGCAGGGGTAGACGTGGTCCCAACATGTGGCATTCAGCCCTCCTCGTAAAGATACCTACACTACAGCGATAAAAAAGTTAAACTTAAAAAAGACCAATACATTCCATGAAAGCCTAACCCAGCCTCCATACTCCCTGAATGTGCATGTTTGGCCAGGGAAGCAATTCATGATTGGGCTCCATGTGTGAGAGAAGAGCAAAGAACCCAGGGCATCAGACTCGCACACCTTGCAGGCCTAAGCCTACACAGCAACCACCTGGGCAAGCTCCGACGCTCACCCATCAGATCACAACAAATCCAGGCTCGAAATGGTGCTTGGGGCTTCTGAGGTCAGACGAGATCGGGGGGCGCGTTCCGGGCGACGTGCTGGCTCGAGTCGCATCGAGGGTCGAGCTGCGGCAGGCCACGGGGTCGGTGGGGGTGGAGCGATTTATATTCCTCTCTCCGGGGGGAGGAGGGCATCAGCTGCCCTGGTAATGAGTGCGGCAGCAGCTGAGGAGGTACGGCAGGAAGAACGCCGCTTGGCCTTCGTCGGGCAGCAGCTCCATTAAGGCCAGCGGCTCGAGACGGCGCGACGCTCCCTCCATGGCCCCTGTCGAGCGAGAGAGAGAGGAGGGGAGAGGGAAAGGTGGGTTAATAAATCAGCGTTCGTCGCACGATCACCTCGCACCTCCGATTCGCGCGGTCTGGCGACGTTCGGTGCGAAAGAAGTTCAACTGACATACGTACACAATCGGCGGCCGTTCGTGGCGAAGAGCTGGCGTGATAATTGTAAAAAAAGAAATTCGATCGAATATCCCGACCTTTTGAATGTGCCTGGAGCAGATTGGGAGTGATAAATCCCGAAGAAACGCCCAACCCCCCCCACCACCCCAAATGTGGACCGGTTTTCAACAGCGCAAGGTCCCCAAGCGCAACGCAACTTCGGACGACCGCACGGTTCCCTTCGGTTGATCACCTTCAGGAGAGTGAGCGCGGCCCCACCGGTAACGGGCGGAAGGACAAACGCCACGCAGACGAACGGGCGGAGCCGACGCTCTCAAGAAACATCTTCAACGTTCGTCGGAAAAGCGCGAAGGCAATGACGACAACGTCGAGGGGCCCTTTACCTTTGAGGGCCTCGACCAGGTCGCCGAGGTGAGGGTCATCCTCCGGGATCTGTTTCACGTAGGCGCACAGCTCAACCAGGAGCTCCGACCAGAAGGAGACCTGCGAGGTGTGCGGGAAGTGGTAGCTGGCGAACGGCACGAGGGCGGAGGGGCAGCTCTCCATGAGCAGCCGGCGCACCAGGCCGTAGCTGCCGGCGTGGCACAGCGCCAGCGCCCGCACGATCGGCTCGGCCGCTCCCAACGCCGGCGCGGCGTTCAGGAGGTCGTCGGTGGCGCCGGAGGGCAGGCCACCGCCGCACAGCAGCCCCTGTGGACGCAGGAAGCGCCGCGGTGAACACAGCCGTCATTGTCGTTGCCAGCCATGGTCAGTTCACTGCTGGATGAAGGCCTCCCCACCTCCAAGCTGCCACCGCTACCGCCACTCGCGAGCCTGTAATGCAATAATTCACCGTGCACCTGCGTACGAGCGGATTTCTATGCTCGGCTGGGCTTGGCTTGGCTCCGTCCCAACTATAATGGAAGTGTCTAAGGACAAGGGCCTCACCGAGGCTAAGCACTCGTTTTCAGGAGGCTCATGCTACGCTGGGGATGTCGGGGCAATTTCCATTCAATGTGTTCCTGAATGGTCCTGTACAAAACCGCAACAATAATGAAAGTGAATACACTCTTGTTCAGTCTGTTTACAAAATAAAAGGGCTTTTTTGAGGGGTTAGATCGCGTAAATATAAAAGCGTTGTTAAACCCACCACCACCCGACACAGCCAATTAGTAAGGTTTGTCACGTAAACAAAACGTGCCTATTCGTTACAAGTTCAGCACACCGGTGTGTTGGAGCGTTAACCCACAACATGTACAAATCGAGAACTTTTTCGCTGGCGATTACAACCAGATTCATCAGGCCATCGCCAGAAATCCGTGTTTACGCCCTGGCAATACCAATGAAAACGAGACTTTTGGTCTCAATGGACCCAAGTCTGGCAGTAAATAACAACAATAACCTTCCCCAGGAAAGTCTCACCGAGGTAGGATTGTTTACCAGAGGGACCCACCACAATGGGGTGATTGGCGAAGGCCATGAGCGCGTGTTCGGCATCTGCGTGAGAGGAGACTGGAATGCCCAAAGAAAAGCCACCAGGCCTACCAGCAGCTAAGGGCTCAAAAGATTTGCATAGATGGCTTGAGGAATGCTTCGCCATATTGCCATTTCCTGTCCAGGTCTCAGCCCTAGCCCACAGACTGTTATCCCCAGGCAGTCTGCCATCCAATTATTATTCCTGTGTAGCATTTACTCCGTCAGGTTTAATCAACAAAGTGATTCAGTGGAAAATTAATGCCAACTAGGACGCATATGAATATAGAAACACACACACGTCTATATTGTAATTAACTACCGTACAGTGATGCAAGTATAGCATGTAAAGCATGATACACATGAAGTCATGACAATGTAAATGTTCAAACTCGCTACGGCATGCCGATCTCATCCTGGCGCCGTGGGCAGGGAAAGTGCGGTGGTGGCGGTGATGTCATCGCGCACACGTCTGCGCGATGACATCACGCAGATGTGAACGTAAGAAGCTCCCGGCAGGTGGAGCGAAACGTCGGACATCACGCCGAACAACGCACGGTATGACCGCGACAGCGCATTGGGAGGAACCGGGCTTTGATGGGATGCACCAGTGACACAATTCCTCACCCCCAGCATGCCCCGTCACTTCCACCGCTGCCTACGTCAGTTTCAAGCCGTGATCTTTGACACGCGGCCCCCGCACCCTCCTCACTACCGCTAAGGCGGCACGCACTTGTAATTAGCTACGGCAGGGGACGTCAGGCCGCTGCCTCCCTCCGTCACTACCCACACCACCCCAACATGTCAATAGGCTACCTGCCCACATAGATATGGCACCAACTCATAAAGCCGGGCACAGCCAATTAGGAAGCAAAGTTTCAAAGCTGGCTGTAACCTTGTACTCGCCAAAGAGGTGGCTTTTCTTCTAAGCCTTGGAATGTGCTCTAATAACTTTGTCGAGTGACAGCTTCTAGCGTGTCCCATCAGCCTCCTATTTGCCGGCCAGCAAAGGTGGGGGAGTGGGGGGGGGGGCGCAAAGGACCCGGGGGCGTGCCCCCATCGGCTCTGTCTGACGCGAGGCACGATGCTCGACGGAGCCCGACGTGCCCCGGCGACGAAGCTCCCGCGCTGCGGATGAACGAACGACGGAGCGGAGAGCGACGGCCGCGGGTTCATTGGCCGAGGCCGTTTCGTGGAGGAAGTCTTCGCGCCCTGGTTCGTTTGACGCAGCGGTGCGATTATCGACCCGCTCGTTCCGCAAACGCAGGCTGATTAATTAGCGGTCAAAAATGAATTTTAAGCAACAACACAAAAAAACAAATACGTTTGTCAATAAAACTGTAACACTGTGGCCCTAAAGAACATTAAAAAAAAAGATAAAATAGGTGACATTTTGGCCAATGGCTCTTCTCTATTGCACATAATAAATTAACAAGGTTACAATTGACATAGTATATAACTTTAAGTTATTATGCCACATAAATCGCTTAAGAAAGTAAATGTGAAAGTCTCAACTTTTCAGGGCATTCTACACACACACTTTGTGGCATCCAGACCTAGAATTTGAAACTGCCCGAACCCTTTGTGTGCGAGTGTCAGGCGACAGTGACATGACATGTTACCTTTGTGCTACAAAGGTAACCTCGGCTCTGCAACAACGCTACAGGGTCCTGGTTGGGATTCGTTGCAAGGGCTACGATCGTAATGTCAACAACGAAGAAATAATATACTCGCATTTCTTGCAAATGCGACTGATATTTGCTACAATATGGATACAATTACGAACCTTAAAATGCATCTTTCTTGCGAAAATAGTTAACTGCTTTTACAGTTGATAACAATGAATAAAGCTATATTTGTCAGCAGAGATTTTTTAAAGAATTACATAGCCTTCCGCAACGCATAAAACAATAACATCATGTAAAATTGCATTCCGATAATGTATCAAAACTCATTTGAAGAGTGCCCAAATTAGTTTAATTTGGCACCAACTTTCTGCGACGATAAACATAATAATGATGGGATTTTTATTTAAAAATGCCAACATTATAATGAAGCAACCCACCGAACGGAGTAATTAACGGCAGAGATGAAGATTCCGCTTTAAGTGGAATCGGACGACAATGCCACAACGAGACAAAAAAGTATCGGCTCGAATCGGCGACCAGCGTCGTCAGTTTAAGTCTGTGGTCCATGCACCACGGGCGCATCGCTATTTCTCAGCATCCCATGTGGTCCCGACTGCGGTAGGTAAGCTCCGTGCGCGCCATCCCGTCCCGATAACGCGTTGCTTTCATCGCGCGCGCCTTCAAACGACGGACGGTGGGGGGGGCACAATGAGCCCAAGAAGGCTCGGGCCGGGGACACGCGGCGTGCACACGCACGAAACATGCACACACACACACACTATTAACCGGTTTCCCTTAACGACACGGGAATACTTTAATCGGTTCGTCAAAGTCAATCCGGCCCGGTGGCTCTGCGGGAGAGAGCGAGCGGCTCGCAATCGGAAGTTCGCGGGGTTCAAATCCAGGTTGGGAGTCGACTTTGCCCATCATCTCTCCCGGAGGGGGGGGGTGGTCTCTAAAATAGGTACCACTATGGAGAAGTCAACAGTGGTTGTCCCCCTAAGGAGAGACCCACCCAGGAGAGGAGCACCACTCCTTCAACGCAGGGAGAATCACTCACACGGGGACAAAGGGCGCCACTCGTCGCCGCCGGAAGCTCGAAGCCAGGGTGTGAACATACCACGTTCCCATGGTAGGGATCGGCATGTACATGTCCACGACAGTGGCGTAGCTATTGAGTGAGTGTCCATGCGGTACAATTGGGGCGCTGCATGTGACGAGATGTGAACTACCTCGCCTGGTATGCAGGAGGTCATGGGTTTGATCCCGACCCCAACAACTGTATATTAGGAATTTGAATGTTCCCTCTCTCCTGGTGGTCACAAGGATCTTTCTCCGGGTCCTACAGTTCCCCACCCCCCCGCACATTTAGAATCAACATGCGTTGAGAGTATTTAGCTGCAATAAATTTCCACATGATGATAAGCCACTTCCGTTGGGTTATCATTTGTGGCGAGGTTCGCTTCTGAAAAGAGCTACGTTGGGCGACGAGGAGGTGGGTAACTCGACAACAGGGTGGACGGGGGGGGGGGGGGGGGGCTCGCACCAGGACCCACGCCAGCCACACATACACCACTCATTTAAATGGCTTTGTCAATACACTGTTGGATGAGGGGTTGTGGGCGGGGGAGAGAGTCGTTTGATCGTACCTCACCAATCTGGTTTGTATGGCTTGTCTAAGGCAGGAAAGCTCAGACGTGTGGGAGCATAGAAGTACAGTACAACGGTGGATGTTGCCGTTGCTCGTCCACGTAACTACGCAGCCTATAACAACTCTTAGGCATGGCGGTCGACCATCCAAGCACATGCACACGTGGGCTTGCTTTGGTAATTTTTACATTACGAGATCGTGACAGGTGTAGACAGCTTGGGGAGGCGTTCACCTCGCAGTGGACAGATCATTGCTAACGATGGTGAAGAAACTCTTTAAACACCGACAGATCTTTCTCGCCAGGCCGACCGCATGCCACGAAGGGGATGCGCATGCGGAGCAAAGCAACCGTGTTTGTACGTTAGCATTGGCACTGTGTAAACTGCACACAATCTTACGGAGAATTTACCATATAAAGTGTTTCATTACCACCATACGATATATATGTGACGGTATGCGGTGTAGATTTGAATGAATAATATATGAGGGTAAAATCTGCCCACTTGCACTCACACTTGCGTTAAACTTATTCCTGATAATCCATTTCTCCTACCTGCAGGAAACCACCCAACGGCTCCATACAGAGATCATTTTAACATGAATAAGATATGAACCACCACCACCACAACATCTCAAATCATTTTGTTCGCAGGGTGGTACGTTACACGTGAGCATCCGGCCCAATGTCCGATTAACCATTTCACGGGCACCCAGTGAAACGTCCCAACGTTGGGCCGACGTTAGGACGTGGCCGGAAGTCTTGGGCCAACGTTCAGGGTTTACTGGGCAGGTCTGGTGGGCATTTGATTCGCCCAAAGGAAACAAGAAGTCTCGAGTTAATTTTAGAAAATTATATTTCAGATGATGACCATGATTTTATATCCTTGTTGGTATTTACTATAAACTATGAACATTCTAAATGTTTTCCCCATGGTAAAACATCCTCGAGTGAAAATTCT